TCAATAATCAACTTCTAATTACAACATAAATCCTTAGAATTGAGTTTCATATCATGATAATTCTCACATGTATGTAGTAAAGGACTCTCAAATTAACATGAATTACATGTTTCATGCTCAAATATGCAAATTCATAGCAATTTCTTATATGCCTTTGTACATTGATTTCAAATGCATCAAATTCAACTTAATTCTTGTTCTTGGTCACATAACCAACTATAATTCATGCAAGGATGAACTTAAACTCGTGAAATTGAGTTCATCTACTCACCTAGGAGTTCAAATCTTCCAAATTCTAGCTAGCTCTTTGAATTAGCCTCCTCAATTTCAAGTTCTTAGTTCAAATCCCCAATTTGTGTTCCTTCTCTCTCTACAATCGGCTCACTCTCTCTCTAGAGTGTTTATTTCAGATTTTTGAGCTCCAAGGAAGATGAATATAAGTGTAATTAGGCCCTCATATAAGCTTGTCTAATCAAATTTGATTAGGGCTAAGTAATGGTGCTTAATTCAATCAGTTTAAACTAATTAATTTGTTCCGAATTAGTTTTCAATTAAATTTCACCATAGGCTCTAAAAATTACGCTAATCATAATGGCATAGTCAATTTCGGTTTCTATGGCCAATAAGGCCTTCAATTTTCAGTTCACAACAGTAAGTTGAACAAATTTTTCTTACAATGAACAAATATAAGGCCAAATCCACATATAATCATGTAATTAACACCCAAATTCAAATTAATCACATAATCACAACATAATAAGTTCTCGAGCCGAGACAATCTTGGTGATGACAAACACGTGGCCTTTGGCACGAGTCATGGGTTTCCTAAATTTCCCCAAAATAAAATATTTAGGTGGCAACTCTGTATCTGGCAAAGCAGTCCAATTTTGACATTTTTTTGATTCAAAATCAATTTTTCAAACGATTTGCCAGATTTGGACTCTTTGGTGTTTATCAATTTCACATTACACTTGTGAGATTAGACTTAGAACCACAAGTGGAGTCCGAACTGTAGGGCTTATTCCGAGCTTCCGAAAGGGGGTACGAAAAAGTCGAGCTACACCTTTCAACCAAACCAAACCATTAAGGTTGGAAGTCTTCTCACTTGTTCTCAATTGATCACCAATTCGAAATTGACCGAGAAAAACATTCGATTTGATGGTCGATGTTGGTCGATTGTAATGAAAGAACACCTCAGCAGAAGTGAATGAAGATTTAAGAAAAATACATACACAAATGCAGATTTAAACCAAGAATTTAAAATCAAGAAGAGTCACCTACGTTGACACCATGAGAGATCTATAAAAGATGTTGCCATTGTGAGAAACTAATAAGGGAGAGAGAAATATGAGAGTGACAAGAAGAGTCACCTACGGTGACACCATGAGAGATCAAGGAGAGACGTTACCATTGTCAAAGATTAGTAAGGAAAGAGAAATTTGAGAGTGGAGAGGAAAAAAAAAAGAGTAAAAAGCAGAAATATGAAGAAAAAAAAAAAGAAGAAGAAAAAAAGAGAGAGTTGAAAAGTCTCAAGCATTTAATGAATGAGAAAGATGGATAAAAAAAGAAAAGTAAAAGACAAAGATAAGGAAGAAAAAAAAAAAAAGCCAAAAAAGAGAGATGAAAAGTCTCTAGCATTGGATAAGCATTGAATGAATAAAAGAGACAAAGATTGTTCAGTGGGTAAGGGTTAAGAGTAATTCACAAACACCAACATTGTGTCAGGTGGCAAGCTGAGATTCGTTTATAAATGCAATTCAGTCGGGTTGGATATATCGGTTTCAAAATTAGACTATCCGCTACCCAAACCAAACTTTTTTGAAAGTTGAGTTTTGAAAACCGTGGCTCATCCAAATCATTTTCGAAACCACCCATGTGGCTCATGGTTTCGTTGATTTGGTCAGATTTATCTGGTTAATCGGATCCATGTGCAACCCTAATAGGGGTTCTCTTTTGACAAGTGTTTTACTTTTTTCTATCAGGAGTTGGTTACTCGTGATAGAAAGCCTTAGTTGCTTTTTCAACAATCTATTGCACCTTTATGGTTGCAAGTTTTCCCTACTCAAATTCTTTCTACTAACTCTGACCAAAAGAAAGTTTGGGCAAGTTTTCTAGTCTCGAGGGGCCTTCCTTATGAGATGTCATTCACCCAGAATAATAAGTACGGCATGGACTTCTTCAATTTTACTCAATTTGCCAATCAGCTTAGGCCATAGTTCTAAATTGCAGTATCGGCTAATGTAACGATATCGGTCACGGAGTATCGGTATTGATAGTATCGGCCGGTACGTATCGAGAATCGGGTGCCGCAACCGTGAAATTTTAAAAATCATTACCAATCCCTCTAAAAATGAATTTTATGCATTTTTTGGACTCTTTAACCTTAATTTGTTACATTTTAATCAAAATTTTGTTTTGTAGGAGCATTTTTTACTCATTTTCAACTAAATGATATGTATTTATTTTTGGCATATGTTAAACTTTTAATAAAAAAAATTGATTTGAATATTTATTTTTTCTTGTACTGAGAAAATATATATATATATATATATAAATAGAGGATTAGGTGTATAAACAAATTAAAAAAAAAAAAAAAAACTTAAACATTTGCAATCTACAATTCCACCATAAACCCATGCACCTCTAGGTACCTAAGTATCTCTCTTTTCTTACCCATTTCAATCTCAGATTCCCAAATGCACCTCTATGTATATCCACTTCAATCACAGACTCCCATACCATAATACAACCACCTCTCTCTCTCTCTCTCTCTCAAAATGTTGACCGGAAGTTGCAGAATCCCTCCAAACCTAGACAAATTCAGCTTTAGATCGACCGAAAAAAAAAAAACCAAAAACAGAGCACAAGAAGAAAAACAAAGACTATATTCACGCCGTGGCACAACAACAACAGAAACAGATATCGGCCCGTATCGGCCTATGTATCGAATTCATGCCGCTACGTACCTGGACTCAGACGCTACGACTGTGAATTTCATTATCACCGGTATACCGGTGCATATCCGAATCGATGCTATGATTTTTCGGTACGAATCGGCTGGTACGTACGTACCGTACCGGCCGATATTTAGAACTATGGTTTAGGCTAACCCAATTGCTTTCTCTTCTTTCTTATGAGTCTCAAAACGAATCCTTCATTGGTAGGCCGGTCCTAGACATGCAAGAGATCGAGAAAGTGAACAAAACCTTCTCAGAGTTGAAACAAGCCTTCAAACTCCTTCCCTTGAAGAAGCTTCAGATGCTTCAACTAAATTCCATGTTTAGTGAAGTATGTATGTGGCTAACAACTTTGACACTCATGTTGAGGAGATTTTGGCCAATATCTCTCCAAATGCCGCTCAAAAAAAGAAAGTTACTTCTACGCCATTCTCTTCCAAAACCAAAAAGTAAAAAAGTAAACCACTTTGCTTCTCTAAAATTTACAGTTCAATTCTTCTTTTTGAGTTGTTCTTTAGATGTAAGTGGAATCCCAATGACTCAAAAGGTATGGCTCATGCGAGAGAAAAACATTTTCAAGAGATTGAAGAAAAATATAAGACAAGACCAATACAACATTCTTAAATGCTTTTCTTTTTTTTCTTGCTTAGCTAAAATTGATTCGAGATGGAGTGAATTGTACTTGTACAAAGTACCGAAACTATGCCATGGTGGTTTTTTTGGTGACAATATTGGATTTTGTCCTTTTACTCTTTGCGAACATTTCTCTCCATAGCTTGGTGGAGATAATGGGGCATGGTGGTGCACTAATGGAGTTGTTGTTTAATGGGGTGGGTTAAGGTGTTGGTGCTAGGTTAGAGTAAGTAAAAGGTAGTGGATCATGATGGTAATGGTTGTAATGAGTGAAAGGGGAGAGGTGAAAGGTAGTGGGTCATGATGGTAATGGTTGTGATGAATTCATTGAGCTGGACAAGAGAAAGGAAGGAGTAATGGTAATATCGTACATTCATACCCTTAGTTAAGGGTATTATAGTCATTTTATTTGATTTGTTAGAAGTGTTAATAGAGTTTGTAATAGACAAACTTTGACAAGGAGGTCAATGTAATTCCCAAAACTTCAAGACGGAATATGTATTAAAGAGAAAATCTAAATTAAAGATAAACCTCAAGGGTTTAGGTGTAATTTATACCTCCCTTTTTTTTTTCATTTATAAATTTGAGACCCAAAACACAACATAAAAAATAACAGTCTTGTTTGGTAGCTTGAAACAAAGGCGGCTCGAATGGTCCAAGTCCAAAACGATGCCGTTTTGGAAATTATTTATTTATTTTTTTCCTTCTTTTCTCTCTTTGAAGATGAAGAACACAAAGAGAAGAGGAAGCTGGGGAAGAACATGTAAAGTCTTCATCAACAGCAATTGAAAGACTTTTGTTCAACAACATCTTCATCAACAGCAACAAAAGTCTTCATCTTCATCAACACATCATCATCATCATCATCATCAACAACTTCATCAACATCATCATCAAACACATCATCATCATCAACATCATCATCACAACATCTTCATCAACATCATCATCATCATCAACATCCATCGATTTCGATAATCCATATCCATCGATTTCGATAAAATCGATCAATTTCAAATCCTAAAAACAGAAGAAGAAAAAGAAGAAACTGGTTGAGCTCTCTCTCTCTCTCTCTCTCTCTCTCTCTCACACACACACACAGATCTAATAGGAAAAAAAAAAAAAAACATTGCCCAAAATGATGACGTTTTGGACAATTGGGCCATTCGCGCCAAAAGATTTTCAAGCTACCAGTCATTTTTCAAAAAATAGTCTATTTGAGATGCAAGTACTTAAACAAAAATTATTATACGGATCAAGAATTCAAGAGTGATAAAGTGGACCCACTCAATAGCGCAAGATCATGTGATCACTTCGTATCTTTCTGTTTTTTTGAAAAAATAATCATATGCCCGATATTAATTGATGAGCGCACATATGACATATAATGTTCACAGAACACTAGATAACTTCTCACATGACAAAATCAGCTTAATATAATTGAAAATTGAAAATTACAATTATATACAATGATAATTTTTTTTGAAATGAAAAAAGAAAAAAGAAGAGAGGATAAAGCCAAAAAAATAAAAATAAAAGGAGAAAAGGATCCCCAATGATCACATGTCACGCTTGTAGTAAACATAAATGGGGATTATTACACATATATGATAAAACATGAAGTCATAAGCTCATGGCTGTTGATGAGACCTCTAATTCTCTCTCCAGTGCTCCTTCAGCATCCTCACTCCTTTTCTGAAAACAAGAGTGAATTCAATTAAACATTCAGCAGTCATTTTCCAATAAAAAAATCTCAAGATAAATTAAATGCATATATATATATATATATATCATAAGATAAAATGGCATCATTACATCCAAGGGTGAATGAAAATGAAGGAAATGAGACATCACAACTTGGCAAGCCAAAGCATGACTTCATACAAATTAACCATCAAGGGCAACAATAAAAAAAAGAAAAGAAGCCTTGACGGTCCATCACGATAGCATCTACGGCTCCTTGAATGAAGCCTACAACATTCGAATGGTATAGGCTTTGACTATTTGATATCCCTCGACCTGTTAGCAGACCATTCAACTATCACTAACATCAATATCGTCACTAACAACAATGCCGATATCATCAATATGAAAACATATAGGCTAGGAACTTACAGCCCCAAAGAATAAGAAGAGGAGAGTAGAGGGAAAAGAAAAAAGGAAATAGAACTGCTGTGAATATAATTCCACGTAGGTCCAAGTCCAGGTAGTTCACTTCACAGACACAAATATACCTGAGAATGGAAAGGGACCAAAAAATAAAAAACTATTTAGGGTTCCTTGGTTGTTGATATCCTTTTGTACAGGTACAGAAAAAGTGACCACTTCATCAAGCTCCTGCAGTAAACTTATAACTAGTAATATGGTAAATACAGTCCTTGGGAAGAATCTTGACTTCAAGAATGTATGGAGATGCATGACTCAATCAATCTCCAAATAAAAAAATCTATCAGAAATGTCAACATTTTTTTGTCCACACAATATCAAAACCCTTGCACATGCTGTTGGTAAGCAAGTAAGAATAGACTTAAGATGAAGTTTCATAGGCTTAGGTATTCCAATTTAAAACCACCTTAGGCCTCGTTTGGCAAGAGGCTATTTTAGCCAATTAGCCAAAAAGTTACTAAATTGGCCAAAAAGCCAACAACCCATACCAAAAAGTCAAAAATTCTCTTTTCTCTCTACTTTTTGCACATCTTTTCGTAATTAGCCAAAAAGTCATCCCAAATATACAAGTTTTTTTTACCTACCTTTTTAACCAAATAGCCAAAAAGTTACTAAATTAGCCTGTTCCCAAACGAGGCCTTAGTTTCATAGTTCAACATTTTTCATTCCATTTTCTTCCCCCACAAAGTTTAATTTCTTCACATTTCATTGATATGTATAATCCTGAAATATCACTTCAACTCAGTCAGGACCTAGAAATGGAAAAAATTAACTAGAACATATCCAAAATAAAATAGTTAGCCTGACGGGTAAAGGTTAGGAAGTCCCACCTATATGAGGAATAAGAAAACATACCATGGGATTAGTTGATTTTGTTTGATGAAGAAATGGCTCCACTGAACCATCTCTGCGGAGAATTTTTGCTCCGCATCCCGGAGTGTCTACTGATCCTACAGCCTCTTCATCAACCACAACTGCATCTATACTGTCATTTCCTGACTTGGCATCTGGAACCTGCGCATGAAGTGCAAATAAGCGGCTCTATAAGAGACTGATATGTCATCGCAAAATAGATCATGTGCTGAGAAGTTATGTTGCATCACAGCTATCAGGATTCACAAGTGAAGTATTGAGATAACTAGCTGGTATTAGAAAAATGTGCGGGATTAGGGTAGATCAATTCTTTGTTGTTTTAAGCAAAACAGTGATACCCCTTGTAAAAATATTGATGTATTTATTGATTGATATTGTTACAAGATTGTTATATATTACAAATGGTGAGTGGCTTATTATATAGGAGAGGGTGGGTGTAGTAGGTGAGGAGTAGGTGAGGAGTAGGTGGTGGTAGGTGATGGTAAATGGGTGGTAGGTAAATATTGATGTATTTATTGATTGATATTGTTACAAGATTGTTATATATTACAAATGGTGAGTGGCTTATTATATAGGAGAGGGTGGGTGTAGTAGGTGAGGAGTAGGTGAGGAGTAGGTGGTGGTAGGTGATGGTAAATGGGTGGTAGGTGATGGTGATGGTAAATTCTAACACCCCTCCATAGATGTGGCTCCAACGTCATTGGCAACATCAAGGAAAATGCAATAACTGCTCAAGAGCTCAAACATGGCAACTTCACCTGCATTTGTATCACACGGACTCAAGTCAGATATTGGACTCCATAATATACCTCAAACATGGCTTCTGTAAGAATATTTTCTAATATTGCTCTCAAGCCCCGGGCACCAGTATTCTTTGCCATTGCTTTCTTTGCGATCAACCTAAGAGCATTATCCGTAAAATGTAAATTGACCTGTAACGTTCAGCAACAAACCAAAAGGAGGCTATCGTCATTTGCAATGAATGCTAGATGAAAATGGAGCAAGAGAGTACATTCTTAGCAAGATGCAAAGGATCAAAAGCTTACATTGTTCATGCTGAACATTTTCTTGTACTGTTTCCCAAGAGCATTTTTGGGCTCTGAGAGGACCTATGTGTAAATAATACCAAAAAATTTGTCAGCTCTTTGTGACTGAATAAAAAGCGATCTCAAGAGTATTAAAAACTTTTCCTCTTTCCAATTACAAGTTCTGCTGCCAGTTGTCCAGTGTATTTCTAAGAACCCAATCCATCACTCGGCAGCTATGAAGCATGTATACTAGTACGTCGATAAGATAAAATCTAAAAAAAGTGAAGTATAGGGTACGCACATAAAATAAAATTTAAAAAAATTCTTTTTAATATGAAGTAATGCAAAAAGTATTTTATTTTCATAAGATACAACCTACAATTCATATTTAATTTCAAAAAGTAAGGTATAAACCAAAATTAAATGTCATAAAATTAAAAAACTTACAAATCAAAGCTTAATTTTAAAATCATACTAATCATAAAAAAAATAAGTCCAATGAAACTAACTTCACCTCTATCTAGAAGAAAATACTATTACAACTGAGGTACGTCAAGGGTATATGCTAGGTACGTCTAGGGTATGGCAAACATTAAGAAGAAATTTTTTGGGTATGTGTTTTGTATAGCCACTGGTACGTATGCAGAAGTATCATGTAAAGTACCAGTATCGAGTATGGATACGACATGTTTGCTTAAATACCCATGCTTCATAGCTTAGCAGACAAGTTGAAATCCCAACCAAAGGTCAACACAACAAGAAGAAGAATGAAGCGAGAAACAACAAATATACCTGAACAAGTTGATCTTCATTTAGAGCAGATAAACTCACTAAAATAGGAAAGCGTCCAATAAATTCTGGTATAAGGCCGTATGCAATAAGATCACCACTTTCCACCTGGAAGTCCCGAAAACAACTGAGGCTAACTTCTCAGAGGAATTTGGTTTAGAAATTACAATTTATAATTGAAAAGATTCAAAGAGAATAAAGTCTTGAGAAATCAAACAAACGTAAATATACAAGTGGAAGAAGAAAAAAAAAGAAGGGAAATTCTATTAGCACACCACAGGAAATCTTAGTACACACCATTTGTGTTGTTCGGGTATAAACTTCCGAACAAAAGTCAAATGATCAGACATAAACTTAGGAACAAAAATGAATTATTCAACTATACATTAGTTCAACTGTTTATGGCCGAACAACTGCTTTTTGCTAAGTTTATGTCCTAACATCTGACTTTTATTCGGAAGTTGATATCCAAAAGACATAAATGAAGTGTACTGATATTTTCTGTAGTGTGCGAATAGAATTACCCAAAAAAACTGGTGCTACTGAACATGACAGCCTTCGGTTCTTACGGATTCTAATAATGATGATGTAACTACAGAATTAGTTAGTCCACTGAGTCTCATATTTGCCCGAACTGGTGCTCCAAAACCAATGGAAGAATCTTGTCGTCTGGACCAAAAAGTAATGAAGAGTTTAAAATCCCAACTTTCATTTCAATAAGAGTTAATCTCATTGAATGATTTCTGTGAACAAGCAACATTGACAAAAGGTATTACCTTTCTGAAATGGTCTTTTCCAAATCAACAAAGGCTCCACCACAAATAAAAAGTATGTCCTTGGTATCCATCTATAAATCAAAATAAGAAAGTGAGTAAGGAAGGTAGCATCCTGTTCAAAAAAAGCAATAAAGTTTACAATAACTAAGATATGGTTATCACACAATTTCATTTCCCAGTGGAACCACTAAAAAGTAACAAATATCAGTGTTCTTAGAAAAACTCAAGAAGTAGACTGCAAGGTGTGCCTCAGAGAGAAACATTAGACAAAAGAAGGTTCAAACATAAAAAAATTACGCACTGTATTCTTTTTCCAACCCTTAAGAGGGTACTCCTCACAAGCTCAGTCTAGTTTGGGGAAAGATAAATCTCCTACACATTTTTCATTTTTCTCTAAGGCCAATGGCAACCCAAAAATAATCCATCTTTTTATCTTTTTTCCATCACATCACCTCTCTACTTTTCTGCACATTTTTTCATAAAAAAACAAAAAGTGCACTTATTTAGGTCATCCCAAACAACCCCTAAAAGAAATTCAATTCTGTGTTGCTAATAAGGTTAACAAATTGCTCACGAAAAGGTTCTGAGGTACCAATTTTAAAGCTTTTAGCTTTCTTAAATGCAATCTCTACTGTCCCTCCATACGAATGTATCCTTTGTGCTTACTTTTCTATTTTCTCTCTTTAAAAAACCCCCCCTCATGTTCTAGGAAATTAGCAGCTCCTCTATCTCCAACTAATTATCCAAATTGTATATTATATTTACCATTCACCAGTATAGCAAAAAGCATATTCATGATTTCAAGCTTCGTTCCCAGGGCAATGTTACCTCCTGCATTAGAAAAGTGAGCTTTCCTAAGAAGCACGGACACTTCTAAACAGGTGATGATTCATCGAAGACTTCCAAAATGTGTTGGACACAACATATGCTCTATTTTTTTTATCTTTATTTTTTTAATATTTCGACACAATTCAAACACTTGGGGGCATAGTTGTCAAATTAAGAAATGTATCATGAATATAATTGAGAATCATTAGTACAAACTATAAATACAATGTTAAACAATCATATATATATATAATAGAAATAAATTGATTTTAGCACATGTTATACAATAGTTCTTATATAAAGACATAAAATATCATTTGATTTAGTAGCTTGGGATTTGGTTTGTAAGCCGATTAGAGAATGATTGTGAATAAGGAAATTGGTTATTTTAATCAAGTCCTTCTCGGAAAGTGGTCAGGGAAATTTGCATGTAATAAGGACAAGTCTTGGAAACTAGTGCGACTTCACTGGCTTTTGGGGGGGGGGGGGGGATTGGACTTCTATGGAAGTTCCATTGTCACATGATGGGGACCTTTGAAAGGGCATTCATAATGGTTGGGATGATTCTAGATAGTTTAGTAGTTTAATTGTGGGAGAAGGTGAGAGGGTGAGGTTTTGGAGATATGATGTCGAGATAAGTCTTTGGAGGTAATGTTCCCTTCTGTTTTTGGGATTTCCATGAACAAAGACATGGGTGTGAGTAGCAGATTGCATGAGCATGGAAGGGGACTGAGTGTTTGGGACTGAGTGTTTTGGAATGTGTCCTTCAAACGTGCTCTTCAGAATTGGTAGTTTGAGGAGGCGGAGGCACTTTTGTGTGGAAAAGAAGGGGAGACGACTCTGAGATGGGAAAGGTCCAAATCTAGGAAGTTGGGGGTGAAATCAAACTATCATGCCTTGAAAGGGTGTACAAGTGGCTCTTTTCCTTGGAAAGGAAATCGAAGGTCCAAAGCTCATTCTGTGGTCACTTTTTTGCATGGATTGTAGCATTTGGAAAAATTCTCACTCGGATAATTTGATCCTTAAAAAGCAAATTGTTGTCTAAGTGTAAGGAAGATGCAAAGTCAGTTGATCATCTCCAAATACATTGTTAGGTGACCTTTCATAAGTGGTGATAGGAGGCAAATGTTACACATTTAGGTCCTCTAAATACACTTAGTCCATAACTCAAGGTTTTACTTATGTTTTTTTATTGTTTCTTGTGTTCACAGGAAGATTGTGTCATTACACTGAAATAGCATAATTGGGAAGCTTTTGCAAGTTCAAATAGATTACTTGGAGGACTTCGATTCAAGCTCACTTGAAGTGAATAGAATAAAGAAAGCACAATCCATGAAGTTTGGAGAAGAAATAATTGGATTTGATGCAATCCCGCTATAGAAGCCACTCTATGCAGTCTTCAGTAATTTGGGTATGTCTCTCTCATCCGATATCAAATTGAGATGATTCAAGCGACATTGGAAAAAATACTTAAAAGGCTACAACTTTGTGTGAAATACAAATTTTCATTCAGACGTTTACTAGGTCAAAATTGGCACACAAGAATCTGCTTCTGTCAAAATCCGCAAGGGCCATCACCTAGAATTCTCTCTTGGCAACTGACTAAATATGCATATGTGGTGGAATTGGGCTGCACATATGGCATCGAATTGAAATGTGCATTTTTTAAACATAATTCGGCTGGAATTGATCTAAAAGTTGTAAATAAAGCTTCCAAACTCCGAAATAAGAGGTCTTCGACCTTAGAGAACAACTAGAGAGGCAAGGAAAAGAGTTTTCCAAGGCGGATGCATGGAGTTCTCATCAACAATGGTGGATTTCCATCAACCATGGGCAACTAATCTTCTTCCCTTCTTACAATTAAGATGAAGCCCTAATCAAGTAGCTCGTATTGATGTATTGTGATTTTAGTTTTGATTTCGTTTGGATTATCATTTTTAAAGATTATTTATTCAAGTAGAATTTTTATCCAATAAACGTGTACCGTTTCTATGATTGAGAATATATTGTTATATAATCGTTTTCTTTGTATGTATATCCAAACTATGAGACAAGTGGTGTCTAGGGAAAACGAATCGTGATGCAACCCTAGTTTAGTGTGGATGATTCATGTTGACCAAAGATGATTCGTGTCTGCGGTTGGAATATACACATCCTCTTGATGATGATATCAATCCTTGTAGCCAATCAATGATTTACTGAAATTCAATACATTAATTACTCGTTACGCGATTAGTGGTGGACTCGAATCCCTAAGTTTGTGTTTGGTGCAGCGCTCTAATCATAATTCCACTCCTTCGCATGAACCCTCTGTTTGGATAGCGTGTTCAAAAATTAATTCCACCACATATTTCAAAACACACTTCTCTTTCATGCTTGGCAGAGCTGCTTCCAAGCCAAAGCTCTCACCTTTTCGTACATACCCTCTCACCTTTGGGTCATCCCCCCGGACATCTACCCGGATGTTTGGCCAATTGATCGAAACAGTGCTTTTTTTTTTTTTGCAATTGCCAATCACCACCCGTTATTTGGAGAAGAAAAAATATTTGTTTTGATATTTTTTAAATATAGAAATTATTTTTTTAAACCAAAATGACATTATTTTTTTAATTGAATTTTAAAAAGAGTTTGATATGAATTTTGAATAGAATTTTCAATAGAATTTTGAATTGTGTGTTTGGTCATATCAAAAATTCTTTTCAAAACTCATAACCAAACTTAAAAAGAGTATTAAGTTTTTTAATTAAGTTTTGAAAACTCTTTTCAAAACTCATAACCAAACAACTTTTCTCATTTCATATGTCATATCAAAAATTCAAAACTATTTTTAAAACTCATCACCAAACAAATTGTCTCTTTTCAAATCATAATTCCAAATCTCACGAGCTCAAAATACAACTCTATTCTCAAATCATAATTCTAAAACTCTACCAAACGCTATCTAAGTTTTTCTCTACTTGAACTCCAAATTAGTTTTCCTTTCTCTTTGTATTTATTTTTAGTTAATTTCAATTAAAAAATAAAACTATTTTTCTAAGTTAATTTAAGAAAAAAAATTTGGATTTAGAACAAGCCTGTTTAGTTCCTGTGGTTCAATACCCACCAAAACCACTATTCTATTAAATTGAGGTTTTACAAAGGATTTATTTTTTATCGCCAAACAAAACATCATGTGGGCTCTTTTTTTCAATGTGCTTTAGTGTCCAATGATTTTTCACAAGGGGTGCGCGGACCTTATGCAGTGTTCGAATGGAGCCAAAGTTAATAGAAATAGAGGGAAATCTTGGAAATCTACGTCATTGTGTTTGATGTGGACCATTTGGAGGGAAAAGAATAGGAGATCTTTGGAAAGATTGAAGAGACCTCTTTTTGTTTGGAAAAAACTTTTTACAAGTCCTTTGAATAGATGGATATATCTTTTTGCATTTGTACAACATCTAGGGGGCTTGTATAGCCTTTTTTAATTTTCCTTTTTTTTTTTAATTTGTGTTCTACATGGGTTGCATTCCCTTGATTCTTTAATGAAAGCTTTATTTCTTTTTTAAAATATAAAATAAATAACAAACAAAAAGTCCTCTAAAAATGATAAAAACTATAATAATGTAACTAACGCATCAAATTGAGGAAATGATTTGAATTTAATAACAGATGAAACCGCAGACAATAGATTATCAGTGAGAATATAATATAAAACAACACATTCAAATATTTGTCCACACAAGATAAAGAAGCTTGCAAAGTTAGAAATAAACAAAAGAAAAGGAGAGGCAAGTTATAGGTTTAGTTTACCTGAATGCTATCACCACGAGGATGTTTTCGAGCTCTGTTGTCAGGAACGTTCACAATCTGATCAAGAAGAACATTTAGTCTAAGATAACTATTGTAAGGGTGATGACTAAAGCTTTAAAAGGCAATGTTTGATCTATGTAGAAATAGGCATGTAATCAGGTCATTACAGTATAATCTTTTTATTTATTAAAATAAGTGTATAATCAAGAAAATATAAACTCAAAGTAAAGCAAACAGCATGACTCCTCAAAAACTTTATCAGAAGATTACAAAGACATCCACAATGCACTCACAGTTCCTTCCAGCATTTTCAGCAATGCCTGTTGAACACCCTCTCCAGATACATCTCTGCCTATGTTTAAGCTCTCAGCCTGTGCAAAATTTTGAATTAGCATAATTGTAAATTGGATCTTGACAAATTTGAGTACTCAATCCATAAACTGAAATAGTTGCAGGACCTTCTTAGTTATCTTATCAACTTCATCAATGTACACAATCCCTTGTTGAGCTGCTTCCACATTGAACTCAGCAACCTAAAGGCCAATGAGAAGAATCATGAAATATTTACATACACTGAGCACACATACAAAAGATGCAGAATAAAGCTCTAAACAATTAATTATACAATAAAAATTATAGTTTCAGCAAGTGATGAAAAGACAAATAATTGTGTGTGCAAGATAGAGCTCTGACTACCAAAATGTCAAATAGTTTTTGTTGGAAGAGTAACACAATGGCATTATGCGTGACCAGTAAGCCATGCAATCACTAAAATCGGTTTACATTAATACATTATTTATGATCCGGAAGAACTGAACTAGCAAACAAGTTCCTAAAATTCCATACAGGCATGCAATTGCAAATACAAAGTCCACATATTAAAATCAGTTAAGAATCCATCACACACTATCTTCCATGAACACAACTTCTTTCAACATTCATCACATCTTACGTTTGATTATGTTTTTTGAAAGGGTTAATTAAAAAACAAGTCATCCCTCCTCAAAATTTAGCAAGCATTCATTAATCATTCTTATCTATGTACGAAATCCTTTTCATTTTTATTTTTTGGATAAGTAATGACTCCTTCAAATTATAATACCTACCACCCCAAGATTTTAGTATAATGTCTTTACCAAAGATAAATTTCTCTAACAATCATATATTTACTACACAGCATAGCAACAATAGCTCCTACTGTTTAGGAATATAAGTTGCAAGCAATTATGACAACCAATGAAATACAACTCCAATTTGATTTTCATTTCTCATTGGATATACCTTACAGAAACTAGCCTACATACCTTATTTTGAGCCTAGAATGTCTCTTTTATTTGCTTTCCCTAATAGGATAAACTCTTAAAATGAAGGGGTTTGTTTAATGGATCATATCTTTATTTTCTCCCACCTCGATTGAGAAATTAAATTTAATAACCTGTAACAACTGCCTCACAGTAATCCCCATGGAAGAAAGATTGTCCTCAATCGTCTTCTCACCGGTATCTCTTCCCCTACAACGAACTAAACAATTGTTTTTTATAACTTAATTTAGCTATATGAAAATTTTATAATAATGATGACGATTATATTTAGGTCATATCATACTATGAGCGGCTAGAGTGAGGGGAGGTGGAACACAAATTTCTATGTTTGTATAAAATTACTATTCAGAACACAAATGCTTAGTGCATCCATAATCCAGCACTACAAAATAATCGCCCTTCAGGATCAAAGACATTTGAAACAATATTTTAGGCCATTACAGTTCTATATTCAAGCCACATTTGTTTTTTGGTCAGTAAATGTAAATCTTGTTCATGTGAAATATTCAGAGAAGCAGCTTCAGTTCAGAGAAATTCAAACAATTTAAAGTTCCAGAAGACTAAAAATAGACAAGCATGTTCATCCACACATAAAAATAATGAAACAAAATGACCATACCACAAGTAATTTGTACAATATTGATTCTACATCTTCTCCAACGTAACCAGCCTGAAAAAGAGAAACAAAGAGACTTGAGAGTGTCAGTGCCATTCAATCAAGCAAAGGAAAAGTTCATACTGGTCTACATTGCAGACATTTAGGACAACTATCTGCAATAAACATTCAGCAATGTAGCAAAATCCAAGAAGACAGAATCATAGTAATGGAAATAAATAAAAATTTAAAATATGATTTGAATGCATAAACATGGAAAGACATGTTAGAGGTCCATTCTCATTGAATTTGTCACTTTCTAAGCACCTTTGAAATAAGATGAAAATAAAACGGGAGGTTCAGAAAAGAAAACTACAAGCTCGTTGAAATAGGCAACCTCGTAGCAGGAAGAGTAGCGAAGATATGATCCATAGAAGGTGTTTCTGGGAAAATCCATTGTATTAATTATTTAAGCTTATATTTTCTAAAAGGAACAAAAAAAAATTTTTTGCATGCATGTGCAAGCGCACGCGCGAGAGAGAGAGAGAGAGAGAGGCTGAAACTCGTTTAATAAAGAGGGTTCCCAGCTTTTAGCTTGCATGAGCACACACATCAATCAAGGACAAGAGAGCGAGAGACCAAAAAAAATAAAAGAGGAAGCCAGGAAGAGATGTCCAAAAAATGGGCAGATTTTAGAAATGGACTTTATGTAAGGTAAATGTAGCATTTAGGAAGATAAATATCTTACTTTGACAAATCATAACCACTAATACAAGTCAAACATTCAATTATAGATTTTAGCAATTTCAAGGGTTGTTGCAATTCTTTAGTAATGAATCTAAAAAAATCCTCATTTTTTCCTTTTGTTTGTTTGTTTGTTTGTTTTTTTTTTTTTTTTTTTTTTTTTTTTTTTTGTGTTGTAAGTAATGAATTTTATTAAACAAAGAAAGTGCCTCAACGAGAAGCACCTTGTACACAGGTTCATATACAAAAACAAAAAGTAACCCTAATTATCTACAAGGATAACCCCCACCCCCAACAGTCCCCTACTCTCAAAATTTTCAAATGACCTTTTGTTCCTCTCACTCCACAAACACCATATAAGATGCAGTGGAACTGCCTCCCATGCCTTCTTTAATTTCTACTTCATGAAGCATGATTGTTAATGCCGTTTCATACCATCCGGTAAATCCCTGTACATTCCGTTTCAACAAGAATGCGATGAGTATTTAACTTTGTTCTGGTTAATTTTCTAGCATGTTCCAGCCAATCACGAAGAAGGAGTGAGAACTCATAGAATGCAGTGGTGACTTGACAGAAATGACAATAAAAAAGTAAAAAAGCAAAGAAAAGCTGCCTGCAAATATCTTTACACCATTAAGGATCATAGTCTACGTTGTAGACTATAGTCACTCTACACGGCAACTGACAGAATCATTTTCCTTATTTATTGCTTTTGAATTTTTGTTGTTTCATATCAGTGATGACACGGAGCTATCCATATAGAGAGAAAGGGAGTAAATTAAGGATTCAGTGAGAGACAGTGCTTTGTGCTGAATTTTTAGCACAAGCTTGACTATGAGGATGGCGAGTTCTTCTGATTCCAATTCCAAAAATATCACTGTTGCCAACAGCATTACAGAAGCAACAATAAGAAAATGTCTATCTATAAACTAGAACCTTCAATCAGCTGACCAAATTTCTGCATTCTTAGATGTCATAAGAGGCAACCGAGCACCTTAAACTAGTGCCTCACTCTACAGCTGACAATACTGGTGTTAACTAGAAGTCCCAAACCTCTAATAAAGCTTTCAAGAGATCTGCAAACCACCTTATCTACTCTTTTACATGAGAAGGACCAAGCCACCTGCTTAATCCATAGCCCACCCCACTGAATATGATTAAAATTTGTAAAGAAGAAGCCATTTATTATCACAATTCTATGTAATTTTCTTGTTTTTGGTGGTAGTTATCTCATTAGGTTGAGGGGTTGGGATAAGGGAGTTACTCGAAACACAAAGAGAAGATTTTTCAATCACCATCTAGTGGTTCCAAAATTGGGTCACCAAAACAACCTTAACATTTCTTCTAGCTTGAAATCCAGTTGAAGCAATTGAAGTCTCTGTTCCAGTTTCTCTCTCGTCCCTTATGAAACAATTTTCCTCCAAGGCCCTTCTTCTATAGGCCATGTGCCACTCACATGATTATTAACCTTTGATGACAGAACAGCCAGATTGAAATCAAGTTGAAAGTTTGAGGTTTAATGTGTTGAAGTTAAAAATAAAGGACTATAGTGAAATCTAAATAAAAGTTGAAAGGTGCAAAGTGTAATTTGCCCTAAAAAGGTCATTAATCTATAGCAATTTGAATATTCCAATTTTAGGTAACTCGTTTACTTGAGAGTTCTAGTTTTGCCTTTGCAAACTATTGTTAATCTTTTAGGAAATGAGCCTAATAATGTAAATCAAGCTATCTAACACCTAAGAAGCACGGACACGGATACGGATGCGGACGCGGGACACGGCAATTTCAAAAAAATAGGGACACGGACATGTCAGGAACACAACAATACAACATGCTTTAATATATTTTTATTTGCTATTTAAATTAATATTACATCCACAAACAATCAATATTAACAAAAACTAACTCTAATTATATATTTATTTATTTTTTAAAAAAGTACTTTAAATTAACACTTATTTTTATGGAAGATCCATTAAATATTTAAATCTACGAAAAAAATAATAAACAACATTCATCAAAAGCACTAAATAAAATGGGAAAAAAGATAATTTAGCATGTCCCTAGTGTGTACCCTAAGTGTCTCATGAAAATAAATTAATTAAATAAGGGGACACCACATGTCCTATACATGTCCCCACCGTGTCCGCATGTCCCCAAAGTGTCCATGTGTCCGACGCGAATACGGCATTTGTTTTAAAGTGCCGGTGCTTCATAGCCCTTCCTCAAGTTCAACCTCGTCTTGCACGTGGAGATGCAAACAAATAACCAAACAGAAAGAGAATCACCAAACAAAGAAGAACAAACCAAATAGGATAAAATGCCAAATGCCATCAGAGATACTTGAGCCTAAGGCCTCTCTCGACTTGAGCTTTTATATCATGTTAAATCACCAAATTGTCTTAAAAGCTTAAAGCTTTTAGGAAATGGGCCCAACAATGTGTATCAAACTATCCAACAAATCCAACAATATAGACCCGTGATACCCGTATATGGCAGGTAACATTGTTCAGGTGTGATACCATGTTGTTTGATATAACTTAAAGCTCTAAACATGCTGCCACACCATTCTTCATCTAATGGCACATGATCCCATGGCATGTAAAACCTTTTAAAGTGTTTTAGGTTTTAAAATAAAAGGTTCCACTTTTTCTTTCTTCTTATCATACTCTACTGGATTCCTAAATCCATTTTTGCATGACAAAAGAAATTATATCATGATTTTTTAATAATTTTATTGTTGGTGAGAGTTGGACCCACATCTCTACGTATGAAGGCAATGCCTTCCAAATTAGACAGTGTAATCATGTTTTTATACTAGAACTATTGTACAACATGTGTCAAAATCAATTTATTTTATTCTTTTAATATATATGATGGTTTAACATCAATTTTTATAGTTTGTACTGACTCTTAATGATTTTTTATTCAATTCATGATCCACAAAAGATTTTGATTCACTATACAATTTTCAACTAAGAAGCACAGGTGGAACCAGACACAGATGTGGACACAGGACAGGACAGGGGGGCATTTCCCTAAATAAGCTAAAATAGTAAATCAATTTCCAAACTAAGCCTAGTTTTCAAAGAATTCCCAAAATAAGCTAACTCGCGGTTCATAATCGCGATTTCAACATATTTCCGCCTGTCCCGCGTGAAAGTTGGGAAATCTTAAATTCGTGGTTACAAAAAGCGCTTTCGATTAATAAATCGTGGTTACAAAACGCGATTTTAATTAACTTTTCTTTCCTTTGAACTCGCTGTTAGAAACCACGAGTTCATCAAAAAAAAATTATCTTCTGAATACGCTGTTCGCAACCCCGCTTTTGTGAAAAAAAAATTTGTTCTGAACTCGCTATTTGTAGCCACGATTTTATCAAAAACCGTTTTCTTTTGAACTCGCTTTTCCAAACCACGATTTTAGCAAAATTTTTTTGTTCTGAACTTGCTTTTTCTAACCACGAGTTTTGGCCAAATTTTTTTCCATTAAGTGAACTCGTGTTTCACAACCACGATTTTAAAACTTGTATATAATCTCCCCCAGCCCCGTGTTTTGCATTCACGCTTACTCCTCTCTCTGTCGAACTCCCTCTGCTGTCTCCCTCTCGCTCTTACTCCTCTCTCTGTCACTGTGCTCCCTGCTCTCTCTCTGTCGAGCTCCCTCTGCTTCAGTACCGTCTCTCTCTCGTTGGACTGGCTTCTATCATCTACTTTACATATTTGTGAATATATTTGTGTTTGTGAAAATGTGAATAAATTAGGGTTAGGGTTCATGAATGTGGGGTTAGGGTTAGGGTTAGGGTTTATATTTGTGAATAAAATATGAATAAATTAGGGTTAGGGTTCATGAATGTGGGGTTAGGGTTAGGGTTTATGTTTATGAATAAAATGTGAATAAATTAGGGTTAGGGTTCATGAATGTGAGGTTTGGGTTAGGGTTTATATTTGTGAATAAAATGTTGTGAAATCAGAAATAATAAATTAGGGTTAGGGTTTATATTTGTGAAATTTTAACTATAGATAATTTGTTGAATGTGAATGTTGAATGTGTTGAATTTTAATTATAGAGAATTTGTTGAATGTGTTTAATTATAGATAATTTGTTGAATTTTAAATATAGGGTATGTTTGGTTTGTGTTTGAGAGATGTGTTTTAAAGATAAAAAGTACGAAAAGTTGTTTGGTTTGGTTTTTTTCAAAAGATGTTTTGGAAAATTATTTTGAGAGAGAGTTTTGGAAAAAATGATTGATTTGATGTGTGTGAGAGAGAGATTTGTTTGGAAAACTTGTTTGGTTTACAAGTTTTGAGAAAATTTTTGGAAAAAATTTG